ACCGACGCGGGACAAGAGGCGAGAAGGCACTAGCCCTAATGCAGTAAGGGATCCACTTGTGGCACTGGGTGACAAAGCACCAAAAGGCTCCGAGCAGCGGCTGGGCAGGGTGAAGGGGGTATTGACTGGTACTTGGCGGTACATTCACTTGAACACTGAGGCTTGCCTAAGAACGTGGTGAATGGCTGTTGATTGCAGTTTCGGACAGGTATCTTGATTGTACCGCCCTACCATCCATTCCAGGCCTCCCCGGCCAGTGACTCAAGGCGCGGGGGCCACACTGCCTGAAGTCTGGAAACCCGAACTGGAGACTGGAAACGCCCCGTTGCTCGCTCGGACCTGACAACGACCGCAACCGCATCATTGATCCGTTCCAATTCCAGGTTGCCCTCCATCATCTCAGCCCAGCATCACCCGCGCTCCAGCTTTCCATCCATTTCCTTGTCCTACAACTACAGAGGAACCGACTGGAGGGTTCGTGACCACGGCGCTTGGTGCCTGGCATTTTGTCCGATCTTTTTCTTCTCCAAGATGGATGCGGCCTGGCTGTTGCTGTCACGGTTACAGTCAACGTCAACAGCCGGCCGGCAATGGACGGCAGCGACCTGGACGGGACGAGGAGATCCAAACCAATCCCCACCATGCCGCGACCCATTCGGTTATTAAATATTATGGATGCCATTGTTGCTCCTGTTGCCCAACTTGGAACGGCCATGTCAACTTGTTCCTACAATTGCGTCATAGTATCTGATGAAAGTGAACATTGAGGAATCACACAAAAAGCCCCAATGTGGATCGTGAATTTTGTTACTACATTGGACACACAAGAACAAGGCTATGTATTAGGTTGTTGTTTTATTATTCTATTTTATCTCTCCGAAAAATGCACGTTTCAGAATTGCTGGTTACGCTACATGCTACCAAACTGAAGTCCATCAAACCCTAAACTAGCTCCTGGGTAATTCAATTACACTACTAAAATCCATGGGTATCTTTTTCTTTGTTTCATTGCATCGTGTTCCATGTCTTCTCACCTCTTCCTTGTCCGAGTCCTTTGCGTGACCGTCTTCTTGGCAGGCGGTCTCCCCTCACTTGCGGGTGCACCGTCGTCTTGATCGTCAGGGCTCTTACGCCTGAGCGTCCCCAATCCCACGTTCACAAACTCTTCTTCGCTATCCGACTCCCCGAGGTTGAAAAGCACCGGCATCCTGAATGGTGCCACGTCGCCGCCGCCGCCAGCGCCCCCGCCCCCCAACACGTCGACGTCTTCATCCTCGGCGTCCAGCCGTCGCTTCTGGATTTCCTCATGCGGGTGTATATCGAATTCGTCCTCCTTCTCGATGTACTCGACGTTTTCCTCAACCTCGACGAAATCCGGCGCCAGGGCCGACCATCGTTGTGGACTTGTGACCGACCAGATGTTTATCCTCCCTGTTTCGAGACCGCACGCTGCCAGCAAGGGCTTGTGGGGATGCCATTCTATAACACCCTGTTCCTCCTTCGGACCCTCCAGCATGCGCACCAAACTGCCATGGCCGCGCTCCCAGATGTATAGCTCGTGGTTATTAAACGTCGAAGCTGCGACGTACTCTCCGGTCGAACTGAACGCAGCGTGGTTCCATGATAAACGGTTAACCAAGTCCTGAAACTTGTGCTCGAGCGGAATCTGGATCGTGTCGGGGTCCAGGTCTGCCGATGTCAGATCTGGCACCTTGAATGTCCTGATTGTTCTATCTTGAGCATTCACCAACAACTCCTTGCCTGATTCTGTAAGCCGTAATGTAGTTATTACACCGCCGGCAATCTTTTCCGAGTAGATGATTTTGTGTGTCGTCGCATCGATGATGTTAAGTCGGCCTTTGGTGGTGCCGGCGAGGAGATGTTCGCCTGTCGCGGTGTATACAATGGCTGTCGTCATGTGCCTCGCATCTTCTTTGGCGTGCTTCTCCTTGGTCGGGGTATCGGCACCGTCGTCGGATCGTTTCTCAACCGAAGGAAGGATATGTCGTACTTCGACGGGGTTGGCGCCCTCTGCGGACTCTTTAACGTCGACGAGCATCGGCTGTTCTTCGAATAACGCGGCGGCAAACTGGTGACTATTGCAATAATCAGATCAATCCCTGTTACAGTGCAGTGGAATTATCAAGCTCACGACGAATAACATACTGATGCATGGGGTGTAACTCGGCCCCATAAACGGGTGCGCGGAATCGCACTTCGCAATATTTGCTCCCATCTTGTAGATCCCAGAGGATTGCCTTCCAGCCTTGACACGCAGACAGCAAGTACCGACCACACCGTGACCAACTTAGCGAGGTGATGTTCTTAGAGTGTCCTCGAAGCTTCCGTGCAACCCCCATGGTCTCAAGATCCCAAATTACAACAGTGCCATCTACTCTCCCCGAGGCGAGGAAGTCGCCCGTCCGGTTGAAGCGCACACATGTAGAGTGGCCGGATCGAATTGTGTTGGTGATGTGTTCGGGGTAATCTTGGAGAAGATAATCTTCCGCAAGTAGTAAATTCATGGTCGTGATACCGAGAAGTTGGAGGCACTCTTGTCGATTTGTCTTCCGCAGTCGTGCGTAAAGAATTGAGCCACGGCCGCGGGGAGAAAATGTGTGTAAGTGATACTGAGGTTGAGATGTTGGTGGACAACTTCCAGTCGCGCTTTGAATTTCCAGTCACGGACTCGCGGCCGCCCCCCACCTGGAGCTTCACCTCCAGGCTGTCAGTGTGGGGTTCCCGTTCCAGGGCGCATGCACGGCCCAGCCCAACGGAATGTGCGTCAGGGGGGGGGGAGCAATCCCGCCTGCCGGCGCAGTGAAAAGGACAGTGGTGGATCGGCCGGGATTTTAGGTAATGGGTGGGCACAACCGTCAAGCGCTAAAATGACCGTCGACAGGGTCAAGCCGTGTGGGGTATCGATCTTGTGAAGACTCAGATTCGGTTCATCGTAAGCGAGACATCTCACTTATACAACATTTTATAGGTAGCCATTGGTAAGTTTGGGTAACCCAACACTCCGTTTTATTCACTTCTGTTCTTGTGCCAGTATGTTCCTATTCTCAACAAACAAAAGACTACTTACTGGAAGCACCCACTGACAACCACGGTCTAGAATAGAATAGAACAAGACTATTATATACCCCCCAAACAATGGCGAACTCCAAGTTTGAGTACGTCAAGCAGTTTGAGCAACCTGACTCGCTTCTTCCAAACACCTGGATAATAGTAAGGCTCGATGGTCGTGGCTTTACAAAGTATGTCTCTAGTTCTTTCCTGAAAGACATATTTTCAGTCACTAACAAAAAAAACAACAACCCAGATTCTCCACCAAATATGCCTTCGAAAAGCCCAACGACAAACGAGCCCTAGACCTCATGAACGCCGCCGCGCGCTCCGTCATGTCCGAGCTCCCCGACATCACCATCGCCTACGGCGTGTCGGACGAGTACAGTTTCGTCTTCCACAAATCCTGCACTTTATTCGAGCGACGCGCCAGCAAACTAGTCTCTACCATCGTCTCGACCTTCACAGCCTACTACATCCACCACTGGCCCACCTATTTTGTCGATGGGCCCCCCTTATCCCCACCACTCCCTTCCTTCGACGGCCGCGCCGTCTGCTACCCGTCCGTCCAGAACCTGCGTGACTACATGAGCTGGCGCCAGGTCGACTGCCACATCAACAACCTGTACAACACCACGTTCTGGGCCCTCATTAACCAGGGAGGCATGGACGGGACGGCAGCCGAGTTGATGCTCAAGGGGACGTTCTCGGCAGACAAGAACGAGATTTTGTTCAAGAAGTTTGGGATTAATTATAATAACGAGCCGGAGATATTTAAGAAGGGAAGTGTGATTTTTAGGAATTACGAGCTGGTGGAGCCAGGGACGAAAAAAGTCAGCGAGGAGGAAGCAGAGGAGATGAGCAGCGCCGTACCGGAGGTCAAGTCGAAAAGTCAGGTGGAAAAGGACAAGAAGGCGAGGACAAAGGCCAAGATTGTGGTAGAACATTTGGATATCATCAGGGATGAGTTTTGGGAGAGGAGGCCGTGGTTGTTGAGCGGGAAGCCGGGGAAGGTTCCCAAGGAGCCTTGATGGAGTGAGTGGATGAAGAACGGAAGGATGGGATATGATTATGATACCTCTGGATATATCCATAGAGCTCGACGGTTTTTAGTAGTTCAAAGGGACTTTGCTTCTATCGTGATGTGGCCGAATTCCCAGGAACATATGCTTTTTTTTTACGACAAACCTCCAAAGTGTAATTCTTTACCGACCTGAACGAGAAGCAGCATACTATACAAAGGGGCGGGGACGGCGTTGTATTCAGACCGGCATGGACCCTTCGGTTTCACTTCTACTCGTCAGGACCAGAACCGTTGAGTACCTCCTCAGTTGAGACTTCAGGAGACAACTCCGTACCTCCACTGTATCTTATGTACCGACCCGGGTTGCCTTTCATCCCATCCGCCCCTCCGCCCTTTCCCCCCTATGCACCGTATAAGGTCCGCCACCGGACCCTAATTTCAGAGCGGTACCAATTGGCCAAATGGCCGAGCGGTTCCGATCATGAAAACATTGTCGGTGTGCGCGGTACCCGTGGTACAGTTTTCGTGGGTCGCAGCTGGAGCATGGTGGTTCGTTCCCCCAAAGACTCCTGGGCGACTGAGCTTTTTGTCGTTCTTTCACACCTTCAGCTGTAGTCCAAAATACAATAGAAACGTTGTCTGCGTTTTTATCTTTCATCCTCATTGAGTTTCGAAGGCATTTCCTTTTTCGTTGGTGTTGGTTGTGGTCTCAAAGCCCTGGCCTGGTTAATCATTGGCACGAATGGGCCTCCGGATGACAGGTACAAAAGCAAACTTTGAACTAAAAAGAGACGAACGTGAGGATAAAGTCGAGTTGTGCACCCATCTCATACTCCTCACTTACTGTGAATCATTTGCGCCTCATCAGTTCGCCTGAAAGTCATCGTCGAGTCACTCTCCAAACTCTTCCATGTCTTGAGTAAAAATACCCCAAAGTGATGATGGTAATTTCATCTTTCCTTTTCTATCAATCCAGCTCCTCTCGCGAATCGTCCAGGTCTGTCCTCTTCCATGAAAGACCAGGATAGAAACCGACGACGGAGTAAGCGACTCGAGCCGCACATCATCCTTTCCAATATATCACATCTCTGGCCGTACACACTCGTCAAGTAGCAGCCTGGTGTATCGGAAAGGACAGTGGTGAGCTTGGTTTCCTTTCTCATCAACAATGGGGGTATCTTCATTCTAACAACTTTTTCGACCTCTCCATCATCCATCACATCTTCAACCCTTCTTCTCCTTCTCCTTGTCGGATCTCCTCCTCCTCTTCTCCTCCTTCTTCGCTCTCCTCTCCTTCTTCCTCGCTTTCCTCTCCTCCTTCGTCTCTGTTGCTTTCCTCTTCCTCTTCTCCTCCTTCTTTGCCGCCTTCTTCTCCTCTTTCTTTTTCAACTTCTCCATCGCCTTCCTCCTCTTCTTTTCCTCCTTCTCCGCCTTCTTCTTATTACTACTCTCCCTCTTCTTCACTCCACCTTTGAGTCCAGCCACATCCTCCCTATCAGTCGGCGTACTCCTCCCACTTTCCGACCCAACAGTCCCAGCAAGTCCCTCCCCCCTCACAAAACTCGCATAAAGTCCTCCCGCCCCCGTATACTTGCCCCCGCCAATATTCGCCGTGACAGCATCCAGCTTTGATTGAGTCGTTGTCTGCACCACTTTCCCATCCTTGGAGGTGTCCAGCCCTTTAAGCTTCTCGTCAAAGGCCGCCAGCCACCATTGGTCCGACGTGTAGTGTGTCGATTGGCCGATGCCGCGGCCGTCGGTGTTGCGTGAGATACGCAAAGGGTTGGACAGGCCGATGGTGTTGTCTGTGGGGTGCAGGGAGTAGCCTTTGCCGCGCCAGCCTTGGGATTTTAAAAGGCGTTCGCCGTATTTGGGTGTGGATGTGGACATTGTTGGGTGTGTTGGATGTGGTTGCGAAGGGTGAGTTGGGTGGTCGGGTGGGTGGGAGGGTTTGAATTCGATGAGGGTGATGCGTTGGTCGTCGCTTTTGGGGTGTCGCGAATTGGGTTTGATGGATGGGTTTCCTTCCAGGAAGAACACTTTTCGGTCGGTCGGTCGCGGAGCGCCTTGCAGAAAAACGATCACAGCGGTGTCGTAATATCAGATTGGAAGGATACAGCTCCGATTGGTTATGTACAGGGCGGAGGCCAAAGGAGTGACGTGGGGGGATGGATGCGCCGACGAGGAATTGGATCTTTCAGTCCTTCTTGTGGTTGTCTGTTCGCGATCGCCAAAAATCTGGAGTTCCTCAAAAGTTTGGCTGTGGGGTCGGACTTTTTCTGTGCAAGGATATGGGATGGAGGTTAGATAAGCTTTATGGAGCTATGTGATTGGTACAGATAAGAAAGGTACTTGAGTACTTTGGGGAAGTCTGGGCAAACCGACCATCGAGGTTCTCCTTTTCTCTGGAGTTGTTTACATCGGTAGAGTAAACATGGCCAATATGACTAGAGCTAACGCGACGTCGGAGAGTTCCATTGAGAGAGCAAAGGAACACCATGATGTAAAAAAAGACCTCTAATGCATTTCCACTCCCATCTATATACCGTACGTTTCTGTACCTGACCATGTCGAGCAAAGTGACTATCCATCTCCTGGCTTGCTATTCCGTTACTGTAGTACACGGGGATCGACTCCCGTCTTCTTCAACAAAGGTGATTCTTTCCTTCTTTTACCTTCTTTATATTTGTACTCAGAGTTCATCCCCACTAAACTCATCTGCAAACACCTCCTTGACCAGATTCTTCTTGTTAATCTTCCCCATCGCGTTCCGCGGGATCTTATCCACAATCTTCAGTACCTGGGGGATCTTATATGCCGCCAATCGATCCTTCAACGCCCTCCTCATTTCCAACGGGGTCCACTTGCCCTCGGGCACATGCTCCTTATCCAAAATCACAACCGCGCCAACCTTCTGTCCCCACTTCCCACTGGGAACCGCTAGAACCGCGCACTCGGCCACCTGAGGCAGGCTGAGCATCTCCCTCTCCACCTCCAGCGCCGACACCTTTTCGCCGCCGCTCTTGATGATATCCGCGCTCTTACGGCCAAGGATAAAGTACATGTCCCCCCTAGCCCAGTCCTTCTGGCTCTTGAGGTCGCTCTTGCCTGCGCCCTCGGGCGCCGGCCTCCTGACGGCTACATCGCCCGTCTTGAACCAGCGCCCCTTACTGCCCGCAACGTCCTTTTCGTCTGTGACGAACTCCTTGACCGTCGCTTCGGGGTTGCGCCAGTATTCCCTGAAAATACTGGGTCCGCGCAACTCAATCTCACCGGCCCGCTCACGGCCCGTCTCGGGATTCCGTTCCTGACCGGGCTCAATAATGGTGTTATTTTCGATATCGACCAGGCGGGCTTCCACGCCGGGAAGAGGCCAGCCGACTGAACCGTCCACGCGGTCGGCGGTTTCGAGGCCGCATGACAGGGCCATGCCTACTTCGGTCATACCGTAGCGCTCAAGGAGGACGTTGCCGGAGGAAAGCTCGTGCCAGGCCTTCTTGATCGGGGTAGGGAGGGCGGCGGAGCCGGAGATGGCGAGGCGAAGATTGCTGGGAGCAATGGCCTTGCGAGTGGCGGTTTGGAGGTCGTCGGGGAGGTTCTTGTGGGTGGTTAGGAGGCGGGAGTAGACGGTGGGGACGACGGTGAAGAAGGTGATCTTCTTCTTGTCCAAGGTGTCGGGGAGGAAGGGAGCGGCAAATCGCTTCCACACGGCGTCGGGGTTGAAAGGGAACATGAACTCGATGGAGCTGCCGGCGAAGAGAGGGGTGAAAATGGCGTTGATGGTGCCGTGGATGTGGTGCAGCGGTAGCACGTGGAGGAGGTGGTCGGCGGGGGTGTATTCCCAGGCGTGAATGAGGGAGCGGGCTTGGGCCGTCATGACGGATTGGGGAATGAGTACGCCTTTCTGTATCGAGTGTCAGTTGCCAACTTCTTGGTGTTGCAAAAAGGGATTTGAGAGGTCTCCTACAGGCCGGTTTGTGGTCCCGGAGGTGTAGAGCATCATGCCCGCTTCTCCCGGTCCGGACTTGGAGTCCAGAGTGACCTGCTCATGCTGGCTTCCTCCTTGGAACTTGGTAAGCTCGAGGAGAGTTGGCTTAGAGTCCAATTCCGTCTTCAGCACTTCCTGTGCCTTATTGGTAAATTTGGCGGACGAGAGAAGCAGCAGGGCTTCGCTATGGTTCAGGATGTACTGGAGCTCCGGAGCTGGGAAAGCAGGAGACAAGGGTACGGCAATAGACTTGGCAGCCAGACATGCGAGTAGAGTTACTGAATACGGAATTACAGATTAGTATCTCTCATCATTCGAGGTCAATGGCTGGATGGAGATGGATGACCGGCTTACCTACATAGTCGTAGCTGTTTTCTACCAAGAAAGCAATGCGTTCGCCGTCGAGATCTTCTTTGCCAGCGGTTTCATATAGCCTGTTCCGGGTCTTACAAACATCCCCTAGGAGCTCGCCATACTTGAATGTCCTCCCACTGTTTGAGTGAACGACGACGGTAGACTCGGGGTCATGGCGAGAGATGGCCTCGAAGACGGGCAGCTTGGGAAGTGTGGACGCCATTCTTACGGCACCGGTGACGGATCTGCAGTTGAGGTATCGGGGGGAAGCAAGGGCAACAGAAGTCTTGTTAAGCAACCGGGAACCAAGTCGCCTGGTGCCGAGGGTTATATAGGGTAGGTTCATTTGGAAAGAAGAAGGAGGAGGGCCACGGAGGGTGGGCGTGGGTACAACCTTGGCTACTTTATATTGCGATGAACTCGCTGTGGACGGGGACGAAAGGCGGTACGCGTGTCTAACGGAACACGGTTTAGAATAGGTACTTACACCAACCTGATGTTGAGTTCACAAGGTGCTTCTGAAGTGCGGTGATCGTGCTGATCTAGAGGTACCTAGCCCCGGCCCGGTGGGAATGGTGGACGGAAATACAAACAAGGATTGGGCGTCATGAACCCAAAACCATGGCACGGGATGCCGAGTCGGGCCACCTTTGAGACTTTTTGACGTTCTCATTGCTACACCAGCATTACCAACAATCATATCACCTCGTATGTCAACAAACTTGACCATGAGGAAAAGGCACACTCTATGCTAGAGATAGTGTATGCGAGAAGTAGGTAGGGCGGAACATGCCTTCTCATGCTGCTCCAAGTACCTAGGTACTTATCCTCGCGTGCAATTGGTGGTTGGGGAACTCCCGTCCACCCTCTCGACCAACTCCAGCTTCGGCAATACGGTAAAAAGATGGCGCCCCTTCAGCGGCTTTCTGTCCCACCCCACCTAGTTAATGTACACCCCTGCAGCCGAAAGATCGTGGGGCATTTTTACAGGGGGTGTAAGCAATGAAGAGTCCCCTCGGAATCCCATTGGCTTCCGTCATCCATCGAACGGAAGCAACGAAAGCTCTCTTCTGCCCCTCCACCACCACGACGAACAACTTCAACTTTGAACTAAGCTTTGGTTGATCCTGACCATCATCATTCGACACCACTGTCCTACTTGCACGACTGTGTGCGCACCAACAAGCCAAATCCTCCTCTCAACAAAAGCGACACGAGCCTCTCCACCAACTGCACCAAAAGCGCATAGCTCCGCGACCCAAATTAAACCTCCGAGTTCCCCAGTCTCCCGGCCGATACCACTTCGGGATCTACTTCTATGTTGCGCCGCACCGTCTTCGGCCTCGCCAGAAGTGCCATTCCCACCAGCGCCGCCACCTCATTGACCGGCGTCCTCCGACCACTCTCCACCACCACCAGCATCATGGCTTCGTCGACCGTGACGTCCGAATCACCTTCCACTACCCCAATGGAGGATGCGATTCGTCAAAAGGTTAGTCCCATTGCGCCCTCCCCCCTCCATTCCCAGTTCCCAGTTCACAGTCCCCTCTGCCCTCTTCCAACCAAACACTAACACCTCCTCCCAGATAACAACCCACCTAGCCCCCCGCACCCTCCAAATCCACAACGACTCGCACCTGCATGCCCACCACTCCGCCATGCGCGGCGTCACGTCTCGCGAGACGCATTTCCGAGTGGTAATTTCGTCGGACGCCTTCAAGGGAAAAATGCAGCCGGCGCGCCATAGATTGGTTTACGGGTTGCTCAAGGACGAGATGGCGAAGGAGGGCGGGATCCATGCGTTGCAGCTGAGGACGATGACGTTGGAAGAGGAGGATAAGAGGAGGGAGAAGGAGGAGGAGGCGGAAGAGAGGGCGAGGACTTGCAAGGACTAGTTCTAGTTAGGGGAATGAAGTGGATGGTTGGGGGTAAGAAGATTTAAAAATAAAAAACGGAGGGAGGTGAAGGATATGAGAGAGAGGATAGGGACTGCATGTCATGGTTTGGGATGTTGCCAGTAGGAGATCTGATGTGAGAAAGGCAGTATATGGAGAAAGAAAGACAAGGAAAAGAGAGAGAGAGAGAGAGAGAGACGAAATGATACCCATGATTCTATAGAACGCATCAACTTTGTACGGCAAGAGCAACTTTAGACCCAGACGGAGGGGCCAATTTATCACGATAACGATCTGGCAAAGAAGTTGAATACAAGTTAACGTAGTTCAAACAGCAAAGCTCGCTCGCTACGCTCGCCGTCCTATATAACTAGTACCCGACAGATACGCCAAGTAGAAAGCACCAAAGCTAGTTTTGTAGACCTTGCCTAATCGCTTCGCCTCCCAATCACCACACATACAAAGTTTGATGATGACCAATGGTGACCGATACGGCACGCTCATGGCAGAAAGGCCCATTCATTTCCTTGCTGATCAGCCATGTATGGAAAAGGTCCCATATGTCCTGTCTTCAGCATACACGGGTAGTTGACGGGCCAGGAGAATGTTCGTATTGGTAGACAAGGGTAAAAGAAACAAATGAATAGGGCCAGATGACAACGGGAACATGTACGTTTTGGTGGACAACCGCATGGGAAGTATATGGGTGGAGCGAGGCCAAGGAACCAGGTCCATATAGATATTCGTAATGCTAGGGAAAGTCAAGAGCGGGAGGCGGGAGTGTGAATGAACAGGATTCGCGGAGCTATCGAAAACCCTATTCAATGCGGTCAACCGCTACCACCTTCCTGTCGGCGTAGCTTTGGAGGCCTTCGCCGCACTAAGTAAAAGAAAACAGAAGTCAGTATCAAGTAATTCAAAAATATGTTGGAATAGCGATAGAGAAGAAAGAGTAGAAAACAGCATAGGCAACACTTACGTAGCTGACTAGAGGGCTGACCTCCACGCCGTCCTCCACGCCTTCCGCAAACTTGGCACCAGCCGCCTCCAACCATCTGCGTCCCTGTGCCATGATATCGTGCTTGCTGGTATCCGGATCATCCTCACCCGTTCCCCTGGCGTTCTTGAGCGGGCTGAACTCATCCTCGCGCTTAACCTCCATGCAAGCAAACTTGGAAAGCTCAATCAAGGGGAAGACGTCGAAAACGAACTGCTCCAACTTGATGCCGTTCGGCTTGTCAGGCTTGACGGTGTCTCCCGACTCCAGATCCGCATAGGGGATCTTCTTCCGGGCAATGTGATGCGGCAGGTTGCCCGCCCACTCGGGAATCGACTTGAGGAAGCGGAACGAATAGTAGTGGTTGACAATGTTGGCGGCACGGAACCTGAGCACTCCAGGTTGCGCCGGGTCCTGCTCGGCAGCAACTGCGTCGTCAATCTCGCTGTACTCGACGACGTCCGGCTTGCCATTCTTGAGGAGAATAAGTCCAACGGGCTCGGTCGCGTTGCGCTTGCGTACCACCTTGGTACCAATATCGACGTTCTGGGAAGCGCAGTAGCCAATGAAGACAGGATCCGCGACCTTGACGAGACAGTTGTCTACGCAGTAGGCGTGGACGTGCTCGATGCCGCGGCGGGCCATGTCATCGAGGACCTTGGCGTCAACGAGAGCATTGTAGATGCCGCCGTTGCCATCAGGAGCGACGGCAACCCTAGACTTGCTCTCAAGGAGGATCTTGCCATCGTTGGAAATGCAGGGAAGCACACCCTGCTCAAAGATGATAACCTGGTCGGGGCTGAGGCCGAAGTAGTTGTTGGTCTTGAAGAAGTCCTCGGTGGCCTTGCGAGTAGGGCCGGACGTCATGACGTACCATGGCACCACCGGGGAGCCGGCCTGCTCACGGCGTTGCGAAGCCAGCACCTGCAGTCTTGCGATTCTTTCGGCTTGGATCTGGAAAAGAGACTTGTGAGAGGGAAGACCGATGTCGAAGCAGCCCTTGGGGGCAGAACTGCCAAGACGGGTGCCCTGACCGCCCGCCATGAGGACAACAGCGACCTTGTTGTCAGCAATCAGCTGCAGGCCGCGGTTCCACCACTCATCCTGAGTCTGTTTATCGGAGTCCAAGGTACTGGCTCTGGCCGAGTCGGGCAATGGCTCGAGGGTGGGTTTCTCACTCTCAGAGGACTGAGGAGTGAGCGCCTTGGCGGCAATCTTGTTAATATAGAGGGGATCGAAACCGGCGAGCTGCTTGTAGAGCTGCGCCTGTTCTTCGCTCGAAAGGGAGTCGTAAAACGTGAAGACCTGGCCCTGGCCGGCGTTGGTGTACTTGTCCTTGAGCTCGGAGACCTGCTCCGGGGTCGGTACTGGATCGACGGCCATTGTGATTATTCGGAATTAGTTATGGTTGGATATATGATACGAAAATGAGGGGTGCGATCGATGGGACGGAAACTCTCAATGTCGGGATGGAGGGGCAGTGGTGTTACTTGTAGTCGGGACAACCTATTTGGAGGAACTGGTGCTCTAGCTTGTGGATGGTTGAGGAAGCTGCGGAGAAATCGATGGAGAAAGAAAAAGGGACAAATGATATAGTCACGATTAATCGGAACAGAGGAGCAGCTTCAGCTATAAAAAGATTCCCAGAGAGCAAGTGACGTGGGACACAAGAGGAGACAATACGAGCTGACAGACGGGAAGCTCAAAGCAACGACTGGAGATCAAGGCCCAAGACCTACCTAGTACCCCAACACGAGACGGGATACGCTGCTGCCACTGGTACCACTGCAGCTACGACTCGACCCGCTACACTCGGACGGTTCCAGAATGGCGGGGCCTATGAGACAGGCACCGATCCATTGGATGAACCCCGCCACCTAACTTCTGTCACCGCCAGTCGAGTCCGGGTCCTGAACCCCACCAGAGGCAGGTACCTTGGGTATCTGTATCATTCGGGCTGTTGGTGATTATTTGAGAACAACGCCGTAAACAGTAACACTAACAAAGTGAAGCCACGACGAGCAGAAGCCACCCGACGCATAGCCACCTCCTATGGTATACGTCATGTCTTGGCTGGTTTCATTAATACCGTTTATATAGTGAAAGGTTCGAAGGTTCATCATCAAAATGAACTGAAGAGTTTCTGTGCTTTGAAGGCTAACATTATGTTTCATCAGATTCAATCTGGACTGTGACTGACTATTTGCTTGCTTAGCTCGGCCACTTCACGAGACGAGGACTTCTCGGTTTTTGATACCTCTACAGCAACGACGAGGTACCATAAGTTGACTGGGGAGAAGTCACAACTAATGTTATTCGCAATCAATCACCAATTCATGCCTTCGTTCGCACTACACTCCTCTCTGACTAGCAAACTTCACTGATGAATATGAAATGGATGATAATGATGATCAATGCTATGCCAAAGAGGTATCCCAACACTTCACGGTAATGACATGATAACAGCCAAAAGGGAAACTGTAGGTATCGATCCAAGAATTATATACATGTACAGGTGTACGGTATATGTGTATAAAGTCAAAAAGAATAACTTAAAAGTGTTCCTTCCAGAACCTAAAATTGACCTCACGAGTCGTCGCCGTCTTAGCCGCCTTTTGGATATCACGGGCTGTTCGAAAAAAACATGTCAGTAAGCAAATCCCTAATAATCACTAAATGGTTCTGGGAGGGTGGGAGGAAAAACTCACCAGCAGCACTAGGCCCACAGAAATACACTCCCACCGTCGTCCGCATATTGCCCTCCAATCCATTCAAATACGTCCGATCCAAAATACCATTCCGCATGCTCTCAAAGAACCTTTGGAAGTTGGGCCGACCAAAATTCGTCCTCGCCTTGAGCTCCGTCAGTGGATCCACTTCGGCACCGACACTATTCAGCACGATATTCTGCGTGGTATCCATGTCCAGCTTCTGCGTGAGGTACGTATGAATCTTAAGAAACTCTATTCCGCTTGATCCGGGGATCCGGGCTGCCTCGCTCGACTGCTGCTCCAGCGAACTCAGCAAAATCTGGAACCACTCGAACGAAGAGGTATCTTTGCACACCCAGATGAACTCGACACGGCGCAGACGTGTAGGCGGGTTTGGCCCGTTGCGCAGATGCCAGATGTTCTTGAGGATGGAGGCCCAGGGGGTAACGCCAATACCCGTACCGATCAGCACGGCGATCTCGTTCTCAAAGACGTCTTCGGCAGGCGCACCGTAGGGCCCATCGATGCGGAGAGGGGGAAGGTGGTCGCCGTTCATCAGGGCGACTTCGTACATGCCATTGGGGTCGACGCCGTCGTAGAGCTTAGCTTGGGCAGGGCCGGCGCCGATGGAATTGGCGAGTTCCTTGGTGAAGTCACCGACTTGGCGGATGTGCACGGAGACGTAAGGATCGTACGGGCACGATGTGATGGTGAAGGGGTGCCATTGGTACTTGGAGACTTGGGGCATCTGCAAAAAGAGCCACTGGCCGGCCTTGTACTTGAATGAGGGCTTGTGAAACTGGATCTCGACGACGTCGTAAGGGTGGCGGACCACACGGGTAATCTTGGTTTCACGAATAGCACGGATCTCGCGATACAGGCGCTCGAGGAGGTAAAAGCCGCCTGTCCAAAGCTCCCAGCGCCAGCCGAGGTAGCCGATGCAGTGCTCCCAGTACTGCTTACCGTCAAAGGGCGAGAAGCTGTTGGCAGTGTCGCGGACGAAGCAGCCAACTGTGTGGGTGTACAGGGCCAGGAAGAAGGGGATGAAGAGGTGGTGAGTGTACCAAAAGGTCTCGAAGGATTGCTGTCTGATGCGGTGGTGGGCTGTCGTGTACATCAGAAGCATGCAAAGGAGCATGACATGGCCGGTGATACCGCCAGGCTGGGCGTAGTGAATCTGGACTGCCGATACGGGTCGGATCTGTGTCTTTTCAACGTTGTAGAAGCTGTTGTCAGGTTAGCAGTGTCTTGGTATCTCCCAATGTTTTGTGGCCGATACTCACTTGACGTAATGAGATGCGGTGTGGATGACGGTAAAGAGAAGCATAGCGTAAGCAAGCTGTCTATGCATCCAGATATTCTCATCAAGTGGGATGAATCTAATCTTGGGTCGGATGAACCTCATGATGGTTCTGCAGACTGGCAACAAGATGAGCATGGCATCTACACTCAACACTAGACCGGCACCTCGAGAGAACCAGACCGAGTACTGTAATTTGTTGAGACCGGCTAGGCGAGCATCAGATGCTTGCTTCCACCTGTTGATTGTCGTGTCAGCAACTTTTCCCTTGCTCACCAAGTCCCAAGCCCAATCTACCACCAGCTGACAAGATGAAAACGTACCATCCATAAGCGAAGATTCCCCAGTGAAATGTCCAGAAGAGAACATGGAAAAGCAGCTTAGTTGGCGTAAGCTGCTTCTTCAGCAGTACGAGGAGACTCATGTTGGCGACCGCTAGATCCCCCCTCCGCTCAATCCGCCCTCAATAACACAAATGAGTTTCGGAAGTTGATGAATGTCGACCTGCGACTCGTCAACACTCGGTGAAAGGCTCGAGGGTATCGAAGCCGTGGTGGCTGGTTGATGTAGAGACCGCAAGACTCCCTTTGCCGACACTCTGATATCCAAAAAGTGATTCCTCTTCCAAAACAATCTGATATCGATATTCGTGTCGGTGAATCAGGTCGGTAAAGATGAAGCACGGTGAACCCAAAAAAAAAAAAAAAAACACACACACTAATTGAAGAATAAAAAGTAAAGAGTGGTCTGAGCCAGCAGCTAAAGAGAATGGAAGGGCAAAGTAACTGTAAGGCTCAAGAGAAAAGAGAGTCCGTGTTACCTCACAAGGCGAGGAAGAGAAAGAGAGATGGTAGGAACCACGACAAGAAGTACACGCGGGGAAGCCAACCTCAAGAGGGAGGATGGTTGATGGATCCAAGGCTGGAGTGAGTAGGATGCTTGTCGGCTACCCACAGGAATCCCGTCGATCAATGACCGTTGATGGTTGTAGTGGTGATGTTATTGTCCGGGGTTAATGGTCAGACCGGGAACACGGCAACAGGACAACCCGAGTTTCCTTGCGGGACACGCAGTTAAAGCAGCTTTTGGTTCTGCTGAATGGTACCGCTACCTAGGTGTCAACCGTATAGTCGGTGTTCACACTCCAGTATAGGTGTGTCAGATTCCCGCCAGACGGATAACGTCTTTGCGACAGTTGGTGGAGAGAAGTTGAGACGAAAACCGTTAGAGACGCTTTGACGAGGGGGTTGTGTGAGGCGACCTGAGATGTTTCGACTGCGACAGGGGTTGACTATAGCGTGGGTGGTATTGTCCGTCGGCTTTATTTGCTAGCTTCTGACGATGGTGTTGTCGTCGTTGCTCCTCATCATCATGTTAACAATGAAGCTTGAAGAGGCAAGGAGTAACGGGAGAGGAAAGGATTAAAAGGGAAAGAGAGATCTGGAAAAAGATGCACAGAAGCCGCCTCAGGGTCCAGAATCCCAAGAAAACCAAGTGAAAAGTTAGGCCCAATCAGGAAATGCTGTCACACCCATATCGTCCCGGCGCTTAACGGTTGGGTTACGGACAGGGGAGGCTCGTCTCGAACAGGCCGAATTGTCCCTGTTCCTTTGTGCAGTCCCTCCAAATCTCCCAGTGACATGCTCCCGGCGGCGCTAGACACCAGAGAAGGATGGCGTCCTGCAGGAGAGCTCATGTTTTTGTCCAATGATATCTCGCAATTGCCTGGTAAGGTGACAAGCTCGACTCCAGTTCAGGACTACATTTTTGGTCACGTATACTACACCATACCTAGTTATCGCAACTGACCCGAGGGGCAAGAGTACCTCTAGGTGCGCTAACATGTCAATGTGAAATGACTGCATCTTGAACTTGACCTACCAACCGTGATATGTTTAAACATAACGCTATCACTTCTTGGCCGTGGCTACGCATAGGCATCAGGGCCCATGGAATGATTTGGTGGGCTGATGACGGACCCAGACTCTTCTGGCCTCTGCGAGACATCATTCCTCTCAGCGGCACCTGCAGTTTGGGTGTCAGTAGCGCTCGAGTCCGGCGATGAGGCCCAATTCATGCTTGAATGTTTATGTTTACTGCTCTTCCCTCGAATCGACAACTCAGCAAAAGGCGCTGCTGCGCTGTGCTGCTCTGCCGCTTTGCCCCCGACTTGTAATTTGAAAACACACAAGGCCTCTCGATCGAATCTCTCCGTGTCAAAGACGCCAACTGAGGCCACAGCGATGCTGAGCTAGCCAGGGGAAAAGGCAGACTGCCATCAACTGTGGTTGAAAATGGTTGCTTAGGAGTGATTTGTCACAAGTATTTCTTGGGCTGAAGCATCGAGACAAGCTGAGCAAAAACTACTGGTCCGAGCTCCCATGTCGTTCCGGGCTACAGAACCTGGTGGGCAACTTCAGAGTGCCATCTTGAAGTTTAAGCTTGATCTTATATCCGGGCGCTAGACCTTGGTTGTTAGAGCTTCTTCGGTACAACCGACGTATCCCCGGCTTAAGGCTTCCAGGAGGCCCAACTAGGAAGAGTCAATGATCGTCCAACGTCGGGTAAGGTATCATCCATTGGTTTCGTTTGAGGTCAGACAGGGGGACCGCGGGGGCCAAGGAAGGCTGGAAGAGAGGGGCTCCGAATCCTCTCGGGGTGACTTTGAACGTATAGTGAAACGAGAAGCGGTATGTGTGTCCTGCAGAGGGAAGCCTTTCGAAAAAGATTAAGGATTGCCTCTGCTGCGTGCCGGGAGAATTGAATGCGGTATCACGGCTGAGCTCAGGGATAAACTCGAGTGTGCCTTGAACATGATTGAGCTGTTGAGACGGACACCTCAACTCCCTCATATAAGACCCTCCCGAGGGCAGCACCATAGCAAAGATATGCAAAATCCAAACAACGATAGAACAAAAAAGAAGAAAAAGAAAAGTTCAGGAAGGCTGATGATACCATGTGTCGGGGGCCACGCAAGGAAGAGTGCCGATTTGATTTAAACCTTGTCTTCACCACGAGGCGGTTGGGCAGCATGCCTGGAAGGGCGAAGGCGATCATGGGTACAACCAAACGTGGGGGATATCGTACGATAATCTCTCGAAACCTCGGCGTTCCTGGTGTTGAGAAGGAAACAGACCTAACACAAGAACCAAGCTTTGAGGGCTTCCAATGGGTACTTACATAAGGATGGTCAATTCTCTGCTTCTTTGGTTGTTCTTTGAGGCTTCCTCCCTTCCACCTCAGTTCTCCATTTCATGACGGGAAGGAGGCAGTTGACATTGCAAATGACTGTCCGGAAATTTGGTCCGGATAAGATGAGATGTCAACGATTGTCAGTCAAGTTAAATGAAGGACAAATCTCCGCGAGTCGCGTTGACGGTCAGAGCCCAGTAAAGAATAAGCCACAAAGTTGATCTATGGGTATAGTGTTTGTGAAGATAGATGAGGCTATTCCTGTTGGCGAGAGTTGGACGAGAGCCTCAAAATGGTGTTAAAATCAGCAGGTATACGTCACGCAGTTTGAAGAGCTTCAAGACTGCCAAGAATTGATGCGGACCGCAACTCGGACCATCTGCTTGCGTGGCTTTCAAAGACAACCAACTTGAACTCAAGTCTATCGGTGGCTTGAATGTCAGACAGTGTGGCTGTGAAGTACAAGGGTAGCTTCTCTGATTGGCTCAACCCTTTCATTTCATCGTGTCGGCTGGCGGGGAAGACCCGTCAAGGCCCAACAAAGTGGATCACCTTGTGGGTTTCGTTCGCGGCCTTCGTCACTGTACATGTGTCCCGCTATAGAAGGCCGGTCAGCGTTAGGCACCAACTCCGGTGATTAAGGGTACAGGTACCAGTGCACAATGGGGGATTGGCACAGAGGACGCTCCCGTTGCTCCTGCCAGGGGAGGCGGAGCACCAGCGATTACGCATCTTCTCCAACAAGGAACGGCGACTTGAACCGGCGATTAGTGCAGACTACCTCTACTGCTGCGACACCTCACACTCGCTGCAACTCCAACGTCCGTCTTTCCAAGTCCAGTCTCTCTTCCATCCTCTGACATACCGCCCTCACCACCACCACCCCGCTTCACAGCACACCGCACGCTACTACCGGTCCGCACCTAATACCTGTCATCGCGGACATTCGATCGTTACAAACATATCCCACGACAGCCTTGGTGGGAAGCGCGAATTGCTGGCCATAGCAGTTCAGGAGACAGCTTGAAAGTACACCAAAGAGAGACACAAGAGACACAACACCCGTCATGGTGAGTTGCATCATCCGACCTTCACAACAAGCCGACCCAAGCCCACTCCAATCCAAGACCAAGGGGATGTGCCGAATCCTCTGCGCATTACCACAACAAACAAGCACTAACTAATGTCTTTCTATCCTCACAGGGTATCACAAAGCGATCAAAGGACAAGGCCGCGCGGGCCGAGCGCTCTGCTGGCGGAGACAAGTCCAGCTCGGCCAAGCCCAAGAAGGCCACTTTCGACACCACCAAGAAGAAGGAGATCGGTGTATCAGACCTGACACTACTCAGCAAGGTCTCCAACGAGGCCATCAACGAGAACCTGAAGAAGCGCTTCGAGGGACGCGAGATCTACACATACATCGGCCATGTCTTGGTGTCCGTCAACCCCTTTCGCGACCTGGGCATCTACACCGACCAGGTCCTCGAGAGCTACAAGGGCAAGAACCGTCTGGAGATGCCCCCTCATGTCTTCGCCATTGCCGAATCTGCCTACTACAACATGAAGGCCTACAGCGAGAACCAGTGCGTTATCATCTCGGGCGAGTCCGGAGCCGGCAAGACCGAGGCGGCCAAGCGCATCATGCAGTACATCGCCAACGTGTCTGGCGGCGGGTCGGGGGATATTCAGCAGATCAAGGACATGGTGCTCGCGACAAACCCTCTGCTTGAATCCTTCGGTAACGCCAAGACGCTGCGAAATAACAATTCGTCCCGCTTCGGCAAGTACCTCCAGATTCACTTCAACGCTCAGGGCGAGCCCATCGGTGCCGACATCACCAACTACCTCCTTGAGAAGAGCCGTGTCGTCGGCCAGATCGCCAACGAGCGAAACTTCCACATCTTTTACCAATTCACAAAAGGAGCTTCCCAGCAGTACCGCGAAATGTACGGCATCCAGAAACCCGAAACATACCTCTATACCAGCAAGGCCAAGTGCTTCGATGTCGACGGTATCGATGATTTGGCCGAGTACCAGGATACCCTTAATGCCATGAAGATTATCGGTCTCTCGCAGCAGGAACAGGACAACATCTTCCGAATGCTGTCGGCTATTCTTTGGGCAGGAAACCTGGTGTTTAAGGAGGGTGATGATGGATATGCTGCCGTATCAGATCAGTCTGTGGTTGATTTCTTGGCATACCTTCTCGAGGTTGATCCCGCTCAGCTGGTCCACGCCCTCACGATCCGTATCTTGACCCCAAGGCCCGGTGAGGTTATCGAGTCTCCCGCCAACGTTCCCCAGGCTACCGCGACAAGAGATGCCCTGGCAATGGCCATTTACTACAACCTGTTTGACTGGATTGTGGAGCGTATCAACTTGTCGCTCAAGGCTCGCCAAGCTACGACAAACTCAATTGGTATCCTTGATATTTACGGTTTCGAAATCTTCGAGAAGAACAGCTTTGAACAGCTCTGTATCAACTACGTGAACGAAAAGCTCCAGCAAATTTTTATC